CCCTAATAAATAGATGTAATATTTTGTGCGCATCATAACTAAAGAACTAAATATAGCTAATCTAGTAGGAAAATGAATAAGCAGTAATGAGTACTCCTTGATGATAAAACGTCTTTAGAAAGCATTCGCTATCCAAAAGGACACATCAGGAAGCACTTCTCTCTGTAGTTCCTTAATAAACTCCAAGTCATTTCTCATTTTGTGCCTTGCTCATGAGGTTCACTTACTAGAAAAGCTCTCTCTCCTCTACCATCATCTTTACCTGGCAGGCTTTTGCTTCTCCTTCTGTATTCATACCATTACTCCTACAAGTCTAGGAACCCTTCCCTGTACACCGCTCCACCCCCCCACCCCACCAACTGTACACGCTATTTACCCTGTTTACCGTCTTCATACCCTGTATAGATCTCTACCAGTCCTAACTATATTGATCTCACATTTCATCATACCACATAAGCTCACAAAAGGAAAAAGCATATATATTTTAATGATTTTATGGCCACCACAGTTCCTGGAAAAATAGCATATGGTAAAAATAAGGTGTCAGGGAGGGAGAAGAGCTACAGAATTGAAATAAGTAATAGAGAAAAGGGATTGAAAGAAAAACTTTCCACGTGCTGTCAGAGTGACTGACAAAGAACTGGCAAATTTGGGAAAGGCTCCATTCTCTGAAGGGTTTTCTATCAGAAACTACCAGAGTCTGCCTAGGGACTGCAGGATTTAGGATCCCATCTGAGTTTGAATTAAACTCCAAGGGGAAGATTCAAAATCGTCAGATGCTCTATGAGAACTTGGCATGAGGAAGACAGGAAGTAGCTCTTATTTCTTAGCAAATATCCTGCAAACAAGAAAAATTTAGCAGGGATCAGATATAATTATTTTGTACTCTGCCATGAAAATGCTTCTATTTTTAAATTTTGATCTAGTTGCCAATTTAGATAGCTAACATTACATTGAAACTTTTTCAGTTACGACCTTTTGTAAATCTATTAAGATTCATTGCAGTCTGATTCTGGAATATATCAGTGAACATCAAATTAGCTAGTGTTATTTCATAGTGAATTCATAAAATATCTATGAAAAATGACGAATGTGACCTATGCATATTTATTGCTGTCTGTATGCAAACCTGAGGAATCTGCTCCAAATTTTCCCAATGATTCTCAGAAAACCTACCCAGGCCTATATACTACTTTTATTTTTAAAAGAAATTTAAGCCGATGGTAATGCTTCACTCTTTCAGAAACATCTGTAGTTTTACCAACATTTTTAAAACAGAATAATCCAACCTAAGCCTGATTTAAAATGTCCTAGAATAAAGCTTTGTACATTTCAGAGGCAGTTAGTTACATGTTTGGTTTTCATTTTATGTTTTTAAAATATCAAAAACTATAGGATTAATTTTATATAGAATTATAATTCAAATATGTGTTTAAATAACACAAAACAAAGATTATTTCTGTCCTAAAATGAATCCTGCTATCAATATTACAATAATTGTTACAACATTTTTAGGTAACATATTAAGAGAATCAGAAAAAGTGAAAAAACCCAAATTTTTTATGCTAAAAAAATAAGATAAACATCACAGGTAACTGATAAAATAGAATTCTATATCTGAATATCTTAAAGTTCTGCTAATTTAGTATATAACTGAAATCAATACAAAGCAAATAAATGGAAACTTTCTTTTCTAGAACATCATACACTTAAACATTACTTTTCTCCATTGTAAGGCTGTGTATATATACCTTACCTTTCTTAATCTTAGAACAATCATACAAGGAAAGAGAACAGATATTATGATCCCATTACACAGACAAGGAATTTCAAGTTCAGAAAGCTTAGGCCAAAGTCCAACAGCTACAAAATGTCATAACTTGAAATAGTGTCAAATTATCTATTCTAGCTTAATTAAGCCTTTTCCCTACTAGATTTATGTTAGTCTTTGTGATACAGAAAATGTGTTTTATCTTTGATTTCCTGAAACTGAAAATATTAAATTTTGTCTCTAACAGATTTGAACATTGTTCCTTGCTTTAAAAATTCACAAAACTCTAATTCTGTATTCAATTGCATATGCAAGGATTAAGGGATTTAGTTTTGTTTGTTTCTTTGTTTTTAACTTATTTTTGCCTATTTTTATATTTGATCAAGTATATAGAAATAAATCATAGTCATACCATATAAAAAATTTAAGAAATGGAGGTTCCTCCTATTTTCAAGCATACTTTGTCTGCTGAAAATAGGTCCCACTAACATAGAGTACATTTTATTTTATATCTATGAGCATGGGTTTGTGGGTTTGGAACTCAACAGACTTAATTTCAACCCAGACTTGGCCACCACATAACAAGCTGTGTGACTTGGGCTAAGTCACAGTTTTTGAACTGCAGGGAAAATGTGAGAGGTATCTAAAAGAATGAGGATTAGAACACAGATTAAAATTTGAAGTTCATTTATTGCTAAAGAATCAATATAACTATAGTTTAATTATATTGACATGAGCTGATAAAAGCTTATCTAGGCTGGGCACAGTAGCTCATGCCTGTAATCCCAACACTTTGTGAGGCCAAGGTGGGAGGATCACTTGAAGTTTAGGTGTTCAAGACCAGCCTGGCTAAAATAGTGAAACCCCCATCCCTACTAAAAATATAAAAAATTAGCTGAACATGGTGCTACATGCCTGTAGTCTCATCTATTCGGGAGGCTGAGGCAGGAGAGTCGCTTGAACTGGGGAGGCGGAGGTTGCAGTGAGCCGAGATTGTGCCACCGCACTCCATCCTGGGTGACAGAGTGAGACTCCATCTCAGAAAAAAAGAGTTTATCTAGGACATTGTCAGACTCAGATCACGAGTCAATCTAAATACCTGCCAGAATTTGATACAAATCTGGTTTATAGCAAAATAGTACTCCCCAGAGGGACTACTGTTAACAGTTTTTATCCTATAACCTTTGTCTTTTCTTAAATGGACATATCCTGTAAACTTTGTTTTTTCTTAAAAGAACATATCTAGATTTAGAACAGAAAGCACACTACCTTTCACATAATAATATAACAATAATCATTTTGAGTAACAACCAATGAATAAGAATATGAAGGTTATTTTTAGAAAATATTTGTCATAGACAACTATACATATTAAGTATCATAACACTGTACCATATATTAATAAAATATTTTCGAATGTTAAAACTCAAACCACAGATAGTTTTCTTTCCATTTTCTAAGTATAAAAATTTAAATGTGAAGTACTAATAGGTAACAATAAGAGGAGGAAGAAATTGAAAATGTATAAAATTACCTGTGCAACTGCTCTACATGCTAAAAATGTTTTAAAATCAAACCAAAACAACCTTCAAGGCACAGAGTAAATCATGTATCTCACTATAGGATAGAAGCTAAACTAGAGCCAAAAGATGTGATTTACTGCTAGCATTTCCAGATTCCCCCACATCCTTCACTACACTGTATGATGGTAGGATTTCATCTGGTAACTGTTCTAAATTCTCACCTAAACTTTTTTCCCACCTAGAATGATATTATCTTTCAAATTACACTCTAGAAGAATTCATCACTCTGACAATGTATCATTAATCAAAGTAAAGAGGGTTGATATTTTATAGCATTTTGGAATGGATGGCACCTTGTGGAAGTTAAAGTCCAAGAATAAAAGTTTTAGTTTAGTTAGAAAAATGATATACTTTATGGTAGAGTTAGTGCTTCAAAACTCTAACTACCATCATCATCCAAAACTCTGGCTGTCCAGCAATAAATATTAATAATCATGTTGACATAGCCATGTCTACTTAAGTGATCCAGAAGTTTCAGATCAAAAAAAAA